AAGTAACAACGTACAGCTATTTTTCAAATGGTATGACACAAAACACATGGAGTTTGAAATGATTGAAAGCATATAAGGAATGGAAAAGACATTTTCCATTAGTTTCATTTGCATGTTATATATCACTGTTTCAGGGTATCTGCTATATAACAATATACATTGTTTCCAGTTATGTGTTTCCAAAAGCATTCCTGCTTATTAGGCAAACCAAACAACAATATTCCATTCTAACCTGCTTAAAGTTGGTTCCGAGTATACCAGCTCAATTACCATTGTGTATATAAATCACCTGAAATACTCAAAAATGTTGAATCAATGCATACTATAAATCTTAAGGTTAAGAAAAAGTAATTATGGAACTGCAAATAAGTAAAAATAAGTAAGTATGTGTTTTTAGATGGGAAGAAATCCATCATTCATCTGAACTGACCCTTAAATACAATGTGGACAAGAAATCCAGCTGCATGAAATATCACACTATGTAGGAGTAGTATGAGTGGAAACCTACAGCCTTTTATCATACTACTCACTGTAGGAAACAGAGACTCATTAAAGCAGTAGGACGTACCCCATACTGTAGTCCCTCTAGCCATGTCTGACCACCAAAGAGTGGCTTAGCTCATGCACCTTCAGTGAGATTACTTTTTAGTTACTGTATAAGCAAAAACCTAAATACCAACCAAAGTAAATAATAAAAGCAGAATTATAACAGTTCTGTAATACGCTTATACTGTATACTTATACTGTAATACGCTTATTCTGTAATACGCTTATACTGTATATATATATAACAGATTGGGATGTGCAGAAATATTGGTATCTGTTCAATACACAGTACTGTGCACAAGTCTTACGCAGTCAAAGAAAATGATGCTTAAGTGATCTTCATGCTGGTGTAAAAGTCTCTGTTCAAGTGTCAGCTTAGCCATTTCAAAACCCCTCCTAAAATCACTCCAGCATTTGCAGTGACTGCCCAAACACCAACCCTTCTTTTGATTCAAACACTACCCCACCTTGTTCAGCTAATCAATACTGAACTGCTTCATCTAGCCATCCAACAAGACATCAATCACTTTTTGGAGAACAGAAGAATTTTTTCTTTCTTTCTTTCTTTCTTTCTTTCTTTCTTTCTTTCTTTCTTTCTTTCTCTCTCTCTTTCTTTCTTTCTTTCTGTTAATTTGCATGTGTTCTGATGTTAAATTGTATTTCTTCTCTAAGAAAATACAAATCTACTACCCAGATAAATAGCATTAAACATTTTCTTTGACTGCCTAATACTTCTGTACAGTCCTGTATATTGATCTTTCAGTCCTTTCAGCTCTTAATACCTTCAAGAAAGCACAATGCCTATCTTTGTTTAAGAAAATTGTTAGTTATAAATAAACAACATGGCACTTTTACCTTGACCTTTGAACTGAAAGAGCTCCAGGTTACAGTAAGTCATCAAGCTTACAGATCTGGAACAAAGAATTTATAAATAATTTCATGCCACTTTGCTGTACTAATACTTTGCATTCATATCTTTGTGGGGATTGTCCATTTATTTTTGTGAGGAAAAATCCTATTCCCAACAATAAAACCTTAACCCTTACCCAGACCTAACCTTAATCATAAGTAACCAAATAAAATACTTTTGGCATTTTTCTTTTTCTTTTTGCAGACCGAAAAAATGGTCTTCACGATGTAAAAATAACGTTTTTTATCATATTGTGGGGACACTCGGACCCCAAGATGACACAGACACAGACACAGACACAGACACACACACACACACACACACACACACACAATCTGATGCCCCTGGAGAACTACTGACTACCATAGCATCTCTCTTGATTCTTTTGATCATCAACATTTATACCATTTTATTGCATAGCAGGTTTGACCAAGATAACTGTACAAAGGACAGATCAATTAATAGTACTGCATCTGAAAGACCCCTCAACCTTGACCAAGATAAGCTGTTGGCAGATGGATGGGTGGATGGATGGATGGATGTGGAAGAGTTAATACAAAGACTGACCCAGAATGAACTCTGGAGAGTAAGGTAACACATTAGGGCTTCCCTCATGGATGGCACAGGTATTACCAGGGTATAACTACATTATTCACTGCGTTGCAATAGTCAATGTTTTAAAAGACAAGCTCAGTCTTATTTCCTTTCTTGTTAGTATGCTGATACATAAAATAAATGCATTGTATATATAAACAGATTTTAAAGCTCAGAAGTTAGAAGTTTAATCAGAATTTGGTGACTGAAAAAAAAACAATGTACAACAATATTTGGAGCTATTGAACTAAATCTTATTTTTGGTTATCGGGTGGCAGATACAAGCAAGAGATCTTGATTTCCATAAGGACATCTTGCTTTTTGAAGGTGGAAAAGAGAGAAATTTGAGAGTCATCTACCAAACAAGGATGTGAAAGCCCAGGAGAGGCAATAAAATACTTCAGGGGTCTGGGGTAGGTTTGTCATTCCCAGTGGCAAGCAGACTGGGGAGAAAGTGTGACAGAGTATAGAAGGCTCTGAATGAGCTGTTAAGGGATGGACGATGGAGTACTGACAGGTGAAAGAGAAGATGCTGTTGACAGATACTGTGTCCTGTTCACATACACACAAATGTCTGACATCCCTCTCTGCTGACAGGCTTGCCTAAGAGCAATCTGCAAGTCAAGTCTGATGGCAACAGCTTGGGTTTGAAGGACAATGATGTTTAACTCTGAGCAATGTGGAAACGGAATGAATATGGGTCATTTTCATATATTTATTGGATATATTATTGTGTTTATTTCATATGAGCAATATTGCAGATATACCTCTGACTTTTTAAAATGCTGTTGTCTCATCATGTTCTGTGAAGCAAGATTGCTTTTCAATTGGAAGTGAAGTTAACTGGAATTGTTTTCCAATGGAAACAGTTCAAATGTTAAACATAAAATCTTTCTTTAATTGTATGTATTATTTTGTATGAGCTAAAAATATGAACCTCAATGCCTCTGGCTGAGTAAAGGATGCAATTAATACAGAGTAACAAAAAATGCATTGTAGTCCACATGGAAAATGAATGCAAGTGGCTAGTATATAAATCCACTGTGTGTTTGACGATAAATTTGCGTGTGTGTTCTTTTCCTCCTGTCAAACCTGCACCCTAATATAAAATATCACTAACAATTTTGCATGCTGTTTGCAAAAATATTTCTGAGTAATAGACATCATAAAGAGGCAGACGAAAAACCCATATGCAGCCATTATGGAATTTTTCGGGCAAATTGCTAAGCAGTTTGCATTCAAATGGAATGTTATTGTATAAAAAGTGTTTTAATAGAACAACAAGGGGTTTAAAAATGAACACAAGGTAAATATGTAGCCTCCCTCAGGTCTTAAATGGCATTTGTTCCTTGTCAGCAAATTCTTTATGTCCTTTTTTATTGCATGCCTAAAGAAAGGATGACTAAAATAGTTTACTACAGTATCATATCCATCTAAATATATTATATTATATGCTTTTTATATATTATCTGTCTCACTAGTATGTCACTCTGGACAAAGGCATCTTCAAAATAAATAAATGAATAATACAATCCAGGTCTATTTCTGGGAAACTAGGGATTTGGACTTTAGGTACAACTCTATATGGATCTTGGTAGTTTAAGACCCTTAATAAAGTTATTTAATATTTTTACTAATTACATAAATGCTATGCTTGTAAATTACCAATATTGATATAGTTATTTTAAGCACTGGAATTTTCCCATGAACTTTTTTCCTACTTTTCTTTTACCTTCTATTGAAATCCTTTTAAAATGATCATCACACCTCCCTGTTTTCAGATATCAAATATGCTAATCATTATGCACACACATACACAATATTTTGCCACTGTAATTACTGACGGATTAACACAGCGCAGAGCAAAAAAAACAACAAATACTAAAAATATATATAAATAACCGCAGATTTACATAGATTTGCTCCCTGCTTTTGACACCGTTCTGCACACTTAGCCATTGGATAGCTTTTTCATTCTGTCGACAATACCATTGAAGGTTACTCAAAAGGGTAAGGCAGATTTTATAAATATATATAAAACCTGTCATCTAAAAGTAGTCTAGTTTGGTCAAAGATTAAACCTAGCTTTCTCAGTGTGCCATTCTTTTTTATGAAAAAGAGATAGATAACAGGGCCATTTTCATAGGTGATGCCATTACATTCTATTGCATCAGGGGGATTAAGCAGGAGTACATGCCATTTTTCCTTTAGGGATACAAGCTTGCCACAATCATGGCAGGGTAGACAGGGAACTAGTGGACTGTATAATTTTTCTTTCTGCAACTGACACCTTTTTTCATGTGCTAGGACAAGACTTAGCTGAAGTTTGATGGTTATGCATCATTATGCCTTAGAAAGGAGGCACGGAGTGCACCGTCAATGCCTTATGTACGTGTCAGATACGGCCATGTTTTACATTAAACACATGGAATCATGAAATAAACCCTGTTGCCAGAGTTAATGCTTTGTGTGTGTGTGTGTGTGTGTGTGTGTGTGTGTATATATATATATATTTTTTTTTCCTTTCACAGGCAAATGGCGGGGAATAAATACGTAATTGGGGTTATACCGAATATCAGTCTTCCCATTTGCTTTGTATAGCACATGCTCTGGTTGTATGTGTATACGTGAACTAATACAGAAGCAAAAGAGGGCAAAATAGATCTTCAGTTCTATTTTATTTTACAACTAAAATTTGTGCAAAAGTCTTAGGCAGTAAAATAAAACATAAAGAAAAGTTCTGTGGGGTGGTCTTGTATTTAAATGGTTTCCATTTCAACATGCTGCTCTGGCTAAATCGATACATAACAATCAGTACTGTTTTCACTTTTATGCATTTTTCGAGTGTAGGTAAATTACTATATGATACTTATTGACTACTGGCTACAAAGGCTGTAAAAATGCCTGTATTTTTTAATAACTGCGGTAATTGAGGTATTGAAGGGAATGGATGAAAAAGGAAACATTAAATACAAATCTATCCTCCAGGTGTTAAACTTCAAAGTTATCTTAATTTGTCTATTATGTTCAGAAATAATATTTACATCTGTTACACTGGCAGGTTAATTTTGACCCAGTGGCTAAATCACCTTACAGTGGTTATAATAAATATTTTACTCTCACCCCTAGCAAAATTCATATGGTACCTAATTTACAAACACAGTCTATCAATCCATTCATCTTCCATAACAGCGGTCACCATGAGCCAGGCCCTAGTGGCTCATAGCACAGGATACAGGGCAACAAACATTTTGCCAATCAATCTCAGGGCACATACAAATCATTTAGGTTTGATTTATTTTAGCCCACTGATAGAGTTTAGTAAGTATATCGATATAACGCTACACAGATGGATCAAAGCAAAACTTAACAAAAAATGATTCCTGTAATGTGTCACTTTGCGCATTAAACCTTTATTTAGAGCACATGTGGCTAGATGGCTGGATTTATAAACTCCTTCGGATGTCTGTTCAGCCAGTGCACACATTTTATTTTGTTTCTGTGCTGTGTGTGACACGCAGACATATTTTCTACATTTGTGGCATGGTGTGCCGGTCTCAGACGCTTTCTTGTCTTCAACCTTCTGCAATGTGCTCATCAGGACCACATTTTTTCTTTCTGGGAGAGAAGAAAATGGGCGTGAGGTGTCAGTGATAGTAAACTTTGAGTAGGAAATTTGTCTGTCACTGCACGTGAAGACGTATGTGTGTGTGTGTGTGTGTGTGTGTGAACAGGACACGATACCTGTCAGCAGCATCTTCCTTTTCACCAGTCAGTGCTCCAAAATCCGCCCCTTAACAGTTCATCCCCAGCTTCCACTGTGGCTATACAGTACATACATTACACACACACAAGGGGGATGGTGTTCAGCGTCATCTTCTCTCTCTGACACATCTTCCTCTATTCCTGATTAAGATCAGCCATTTGATTGATACTTTCATGATCAGCGAGCCCCTAATGCAGGTACAGGCTGGAGTTTCTTTCAGCTGAAAACTAGATCGGCTGCTGTTTTGCAGGCTTCATCAGAAGAATGCCTGACACCCCCCCCCCCAAAAAAAAATCATCTGGACTGCATTCCCCATTTTCCCAATAGAAAAAAAAAGAAACAGTGTATGTGAAGGTGTGAAGCTTGTGCTTCTGTGCTGGGTCACATGTTTGTCTATTTTGAAAATGAGCTACAATTTGGATTGCTGTTTGTTTTTATGTGTGTGTGTGTGCGAGCAGGTTTACCTATCCTTATGGGGACATAATGTCCCCATAACGTGATAAATATCCATTTTTTTTTTGGAAACCGGTCCCCATAAGGGAAAACTCTATTTTATAAAAATCGGTGACTGCTATGAAAAAACTAAAAATGCAAAAACTCTTGTATTTTGTTAGGTTACTTACAGTATGGTTATGGTTAGGGCTGGGTAGGGGTTAAGGTCATAGTTAGTATTAGCATTTTTCCCATTGAAATGAATGAGCGGTCCCCATAAGGATATGTTTACCCTACATGCGTGTGTGTGTGTGTGTGTGTGGTCCGGGTATGCGTTACAATGTGGGGGCCACCTGTTTTTGTGGTCCCCACAAGGAGAAATTCAATTTTATAAAATCTGTGACTGCAATCAAAAAACTAAAAATGGAATTTCCCCACAAAGATATAAATACAATCCTCTGTGTGTGTGTGTGTTTCATTTTGTGGCATTCCTGTACTTCCTAATGCTTGCAGCCATCTATCCCAGCTACAGGCTTGCATCCAAATGATAGATGGATGGATAGGTGTTTTAAGCATTGTTGTTGCTGATATCATACAATTTCCCTGCAAAGAATTTATAGCTATAGAAGAAAATTTCATCCTTTTGCCTCTTCCAAGGAGACAAGAGGCATGTATGAAAAGTCTTTTGTCCATCCATCCATTTTCTGTACTTATTTGTCCAATGTAGGGTCATGGGGGTCAGAAGCCTATCTTGGAAGCTAAGGGTACAAGGCAGGGAACAACCCAGGACTGGATGCCAACCCATCATAGGTCACAAAAGTATTCTGTAAATGACAAAACCCTCCCAGAAGAGTGGCAGCTATTATAGCTGCAAAGAGAGGACCAATTTCACATTGATGCCTATGGATTTAAAATGGGATGTCATAGATGTCCCTGCAGGCGTTAATGCCAGATGTGCCAATACTTTTATACATATAGCGTAGTATCCATGCTAATGGCAAAGGTGTTGACCAGTGGTTAAATAGCAAGTGCAGTACCTCTGAGAAGGTCATGACCATTGTAGACAGACAATACTGTCAGTCTTCAAGTTCCACAACTGAAATATGATGTTATAATGAGAATATCTTGCATTGTTAGTGTTATTTTTACCAGCACCTGGCAAGTATGAGTAAAATGAGAATTAAATGGGATAAAACTGAATTGTAATTCAATAAGCCAAAGTTCCAATGCACAACCAAATTTTCTAATTGAGCTACTGCAAAAATGTGACAAACTATGTTATAGAAACACAAACATTAGCAACCATCTATTAGTAAAATATAACATTAGCCCACTGTATTACAATTAACCAGTCCAAGTTAATCCTGAGGAATTTGCACTTCCATCTTTGGGATTAACAGCAGATAGCAGAAGAGCAGCTAAAGTTTTCTGAAAGCCGGACATACACACGCACACAAAGGCCAACTGTGTGACATGAACTGTGTGAAGTGGAGGAAACAGAGAAGAGGACACCTTTACTTCTGTATCATTCCTTATCACACGGGCCTTGAAATGTTCTCATTTTTATACAAGCGACTGGAGAGGACACGCTCACCTTGTTTTCCTGCCAGTTTCCTTTTCACATACTGGTCCAACGGGGGAACAGAAGCTTGTAACCCTAATTGTTCACACCTGCAAGCAATTATGGTGATACTAAAAGTAATTTCGGCAACTCACCAAACTTGGTATTGTTGACACAACAGTTTAAAGCACACTTTTAATAAATGAAGCTCTGGGAGGACGTCCAGTTTCCTATAAATCATGCAAACAACATGTTTTCAGGTAGACATGCTAATAGTATTACGTCAGTGGTTTTCAACCCTGGTACTGGAAAGTTTATGCTGATTTACTGCTGAATAACATCTTAAATATGGAGGTTTGAGGTGCTCTTATGAAATAATGATAAAATATCACCAATACTAACGGTCACTGGATGCACATTCCACAATGTGTTATTTTCCAATCTGTGTTTTAAAAAAGAATCATTCATGTGTGCTACAATAACTTGAATAGTTTTTCATTACACACTACCCTATATATTCAGCCTAATTATGACGACAGAGAGTCATCAAATAAGTGAATGGTTAAGGAGAAGCGAATGGTTAAGCTATTGAGTTAACTACAAAATTAATTTAAGAATCAAAATGTAAGTCAATACCTTACTCTAAGTTGAATGCTAACCATATTCTTTCAAAAATAGTTTTCAGAAACATTAATATAGATGAAATAATTGTCAGAATTGAATATACAGATCACCAATAACACATTATTTAAAATTTGGCATAATAAAAATGCAAATACATTGTGGTATTCCAGGATATTTCCAATCGTCTGCTTCGAACCCTCTGTATATGAAAAATGATGTCCTGAGCACTTTATTAATTAGCTTTGATTGAGTTTTTGATTGAATGAGTTGCACAGATCATTTGAGGCTAAACTGAATGTGTATAAGTACTTTCAGTCATGTTAAACCAAATTTGAGTTGTTCAAGTGATACCTGAGTTCTCTTTTATGTGACATCTTATTGGTCACAATAAAGTTCCATTTATATGATTGGTATTGAACAAAAAAAGTAACAAAAAAAACCTTAGATTTAGATAGATTCAATCCCCATTTACTTAATTGTGTGATATATAATGCTTTAAACATGAGTGAAACACATGAGTGAAAATGATAGCAATGTGTCTGGATTAATGTGATTTCAATAGTGTGGTTCAAAGCTAATTAATTAGGAGCTCAGCTGGAACAAAAGCCTGCATTCACAGTGGACCAAGAGAACAGCAGTGAATAACCTCATGTTACAAATCCTGACCATTCAATCAAGTTTTATTTGAAACTAATTTTTATCTGGAACAATAAGTGAATAGTTCAGTGTGTTTCCACTTGAGGAAAACTACTACTACTACTGCTAATAATAATAATAACAATAATGCAACCCATTGGTATATTTATTTAATATATTCTCATCAAGACAGCTGTTTATGCTGTAGTCATTCCCAATTTTCCTTGCTGCACCAACAACTTATAAAAAAATGTTCCTTTTCATTACAACAACCATAAATTTTCAAAGCACTTATCCAGTGATAGATAGGGCACAACGCAGGGGTGGATACATGCTGGATAGAATGTCAATCTCTCACAGGGCAGTACAACCAAAGCCCACATAACATAACACATTATGATGTAATAATAATATCCAGACACCATAACATGCAGAATAATATCCAGTAAGTCTGGCAGAGATATTAGGTGCTGAGGCCACAAGCTGTCTTCAGATTTAACCAATGAAAATTATCACTATGGTGATTGTAGGTCAAAACTATTAAGACAGTAACAGATACTAGTGTGCAGGGCATACAAGGGCTCCTAGCGATTTTTTTTCCATTGAAAATAAATTAATTTGTATAAATGGAAGCTTATGAAGTATTCTCTTGGTATTGTTTTGAACTGGAAACTAGGTAACAAACAGGGGGGTATTTTCCGTACGTCGCTTAAATCATCAAAGATCAGATGCCTCATCTTGGATGAGTTAATGCCAGTGAAACTCATCCGGGATAAGTAGGTTTTTCAAACGCAGCTGTGTAGTACATTAATTTAGCTGGATCCATTCATCCGAGATGATTGTGTGCGCCCGCGCTGCTTGAAAAGCCCATATATATCGAGTCTAGAAACCTTGATCGGCAAGTCTCTCATTGACTTCCACAAAACGTCAAAAAACAGGGCGCATCTTTTCACGCAATCTGAGCAGGACCTTTTATTAGAGGGGTATGATAAATTCAAAGATTTAATATGTACTAAAGGAAACATATCAAAAGCGGCCCAAACCAGAAAAGACGGCTGGCAAAAAGTGTCCGACAAATTAAATGTGTAAGAAGTTTTTAGTTATTGTATTTATCACTTGAATGTAGTATTACGTTTCCAATGTTTCATTATTATTTTTTTTGTCATAATTACAGATCAAGTACAAGCACAGTCATGCAGGACATGGGAACAAGTTAAAGTGAAGTACAAACACAACATGTTACAAACACGACATTACCCAGGAAAATCTGGGTAATGAGAATATTAGTGTGATTTTTAAATTCTTCATAGAACTGTAATTTTATTGCGTATACATTACCTGCAATGGCATAAAACGCATCTTTAATTGCTTGCACTCGCAGGTGTCCGGGAAAAACAATTGCGAATTGCCTGGCAAACTGTACTCTTTGATACTGTATATTTTCCGCATCGCCTACAGTATTCAAAAAAGTGCCACTTGCAAAATATCTGAAGGCAATGCACATTGTCTGTGTGGCTGTGAGAGCCAGACTTCGCCTAGTTGGACTTCTACTATACAGAGCTAATAAATCTTTAAGATATAATATTCCATCTCGGCTGAAGCGATATCTTTCGAAAAGAATATCATCCGGCAACAATAAAGGATCTTGCCAATCACACAAAACCGTCTCAATTTGAAACTCCCTTCTTATTATTTGTGCACCGATTGCAATTGGTCACTCATCCATGAATGGCGAGGCCATGACTGAATGGATTTCCATGCACGGACACTGATTAAGTGTGTGAGCTAATCCTTGTTTAGAACTAACCTGTTCCGAGGAGGTTTGAGGATCTGGATGTGCTGCTATGACAACACATCCAGCAAGAGTTTCGAAAAACCAACAGATCCAGGATCATGCCAAATCGTCAACAATTACATCCAGCTAAACGAGTCATCCACGTACAAAAAATACCCCCCAGGTCTGATGACCTGGTGAGTTTTATTTTATTGATCAAAATTAACAGAGGAATGTAGTACTTTTGTGCCATTAATAATGATATTCACAAACATGCACACAAAAAACAATAGTAATTACAATCATGAGCATTTAATTCTCAGCAAAACATTTGTGGCAAAGTGAAATCAGAGAGAATATGGTGTGAGATATACAGTACTGGATTCTTTGAGCACAGAATGGTTTATTTCCCTCCTGAACTTATTGATCAGAGAAAAGACTACCTTCCCACAGGTGTGAACTGGCCATTGGAAAGTTTTGAGATTTTCCCACCGGGCCAGTCTTGTGAGGGCCGGTTGATCACGATCGGTAATCGGCATCACCACACCCCCCACTCAGTCAGCAGCAAATTCTCAGGCTGATTTTGTTGCAAATTTGCCCCGACCCTCCCATATACATGCAAGCAAATGCCATAGCCCCCCCCCCCTCCACCCTACAAAAATAGAACAGACCAGACAGTAGAACAAGCGTGAGTTACTGAATTTGTTCTCCTCATATGTCTCTGGTCTCACACTAAAACTGACTCAAACTTTAGTACTGTGCTCATATCATGACTGCATCCCCCGAAGACTTTCACTCCAAAAATGTACTCTACTATCAAAGGAGGGGGTTTACACTCAGAATAGTGGTATTCCAATGTTATTGCAATTTTGACGTACAAAAATTATAACTCCCACAAAGGAACACATTTCAATAGACAACCTCAAAATGAATTTTATGATAATGACAAACTGAAATGCAATAAAATGACTTTCAATCCAATTGACATCTAAAAGCAGAATCACAACAGATTATTTTAAAAAGTCTCAGGGTAGCAGAGGCTATTCTATAATTGGGGATGAATTCACATTCTAACATTTCTTTGCGTTTTTAATCATATGCACGCCACAAAAGAAAAAAGGGCTAAACTGTTCAAACTCAACACATCAAATGTGAATGTAAGCATGTAAGCATGACACATCGATAGAGTACGGGGGGGCGCTATAGACCCCTGCCAACACAGCTGCCGATCACTCCACTGGAGCCAAAAATGCGTAAAAAAATCAAAGCTTCCAGCAGATCAGTTAATATCAGCAAACTGGACCAGAAACTCCAGGGCTGATGAAGCGACAAGCTGCCCAAAAAAACATTACTGTCAAAAAGGAAAAAAACTACAAAACAAGAACACTAAGAAATTAAATCGCAAAAAAAAACTAAGAAATGGAAAATGGAAAAAGGGAAAGATTCATTGATGGCAACACCGTAGTGGCGTAAGCCTAAAGCAGAAAAAACTAAATCAGGTTCGGCTACTGCAAAACAGACACTACTGACTAAACAAACAAAAGTGATCTTTCTTTGAAGCACTATCCCACAAAGACTACCTTGCATACCATTCATCAGACCACTCAGCTTCTCTGCGCAGTGCTGGTGAGTAACACATAAAAAGAAGTCATCTGCAGACTATATTAAACCCAGCAGTTACAAAGACTAAGGATCACATACCTCAAATACATGGCTGCACACACACTGCAGCACTCAGCTTTGTCATTTAATGCCTAAAGACAAAATATAACCCGTCAATGGCTGTTACCAACTCAGCAATACCAACAAGCCCCAACAGCAAACATCCTTGAAATGCCTCTAAGGAAAGGGATGGCCACAACCAGCCTGAGGGGGGAAAGATGCCAAAGACAAAAAACAACAACACATGGATGATCCTTGGGTTAAATACATAAACAAACTAACAAGATAATTAGCAACCTAACTGAAATCTGTGTTTGAAGAAAATATGCTTCGCTACGGTGGCTGCATTAGGCCAAGAATAGACAG